TTGGATCTTGTACCTTTACATGATGTATCTTGGTTTTTATTTTTTCACCATTCCCCTGCCCTCCCTTCACCCCTCCCTATTTACAGACTTTATTCCATTTTTCCTGTTCTTCTATATTTTTCCCTTCTTTCCTTTCCCCTACCCCTCCTACATCCCTTACTCCTTTAGACCCTTTCTTCTTATTTCACATTATCAATTATACAATTTGATCCTTATTTGTACTTTTAACTTTTCATGCCAGAGAAACTACTTGGTATTTACACATGTGTGTCTTATTCATTTCACTTAAGAGTATGGCCTCAATGTGCATCCACTTAGCTATAAATATCTCCAGTTTCTCATTCTTTATGGTAGAGAAGTACTCCATTTTATTAAAAATCCACATCTTCTTTATCCAGTCTCCGAATGATAGGCAATTGTGCTGTTTCCAAGTTTTAGCTATTACGAATTGTGCCACTCTAAACATGGGTGTGCATACATCACTGTGGTATGATTCTTTTAAATCTTTTGGGAAAATACCCAGCAGAGGAATAGCTGGGTCAAATGAGACCTCTCATCCTAGGTCTTTGAGATATCTCCACATAGGTTTCCATAGTGGTTGCCCCAGTCTGCCCTCCCACCAACAATGGAGAAGGGTTCCTTTCTCCCCATAGCCCTGCCAGCATTTGTTATTGGTTGACTTCTTAATAGCAGCCATTTTTTCTGGGGTGAGGTGGAATCTCAGTGTTGTTTTCATCTATACCACTCTAATGACCAGTGATGTTGAACATTTATTTGCTGCTTTTACTTCTTTGTCTGAGAAATGTCTGTTTGTTTCAGATGACCTTTTTTAGGGTACCAGAGATGGAACTCAGGACCTTGGTCTTGTAAGGAAGGCCGTGGCACCACTGAGCTAAATCACTGGCCCCCAAATGCCCATTGTTGAATTGGGTCTTTATATTTTGGAGGTCTGATTATATATTCTAGACAGTAGTCCTTTGAGGAACAGCTGGTAGAATTTTTTCCCCCACATTGCAAGTTGCCCCTTAGCTCTGTTGGTGGTTTCTCTTGCAGTGCAGAAGCTTTTCAAAAAGATGAGATCCCAGTTGTTGATGCTTTGTATTAGCTCCTGTGCTACTGAGGTTTTGTTCATAAAGTCTCTCTCTCTTTTTTTTTGGTACTGGGGATTGAATTCCAGTTCCTTGTGCTTACAAGGCAGGCAGTGAAACATGAAGTCTTTTCCTATGCCAGTGTCTTTGAGAGTTCTACCTATCTTCCAGCAAGTTTAATCTTTCTCCTTTAATATTTAGATCTTTAATCCACTTGGATTTTGGTTTAGCACCTGGTGAAAGATAGGGGTCTGATTTTAATTTTTGGTGGGTTGAAATTCAGTTTTTCCAACACCATTTATTAAAGAGGCTGTCTTTCCTCCAGTGGGGGTGGTTGGCTCTTTTGTCAAAGATGAGGTAGCTGAGTATGTCTGGAGTTGTTTCTGTATCTTCAAATCTATTCCAAGGGTCCTTGGGTCTGTTTCTTTGCTAGTACCCTGCTGTTTTTATCACAGTGGCTTTGTAGTATAGTTTCAAGTTGGGGATTGTGATACCCCCTGTCATGCTCCTGTTGCCTAGAATTGCTTTTGCTATTCTAGGTCTTTTCTGGTTCCAAATGAATTTTTGGATTGAAAACAGGAATTTTCATGGTGTCATAGTTGGCAATGAATTGGGAATTTCAGGGAGGATGGTGACAGTACTCTTCTAGAGAAGATTTATGTTACTTCTGGCATGTGCTCAGAGGTGCTATTGCTTAGGGATCCTCTTAACTTAATTTTAACAATTGAGATGTTTCTGATGTTCCAAGGTACATTGTGATGTTTTGACATTTGGAAAGCCTCCAACTCTCCCTTCAATTCTATTATTTCTCTCAAAAAAATTTTTTTCTGCCCTACAACTTGAAATTCTAAAATTTCAATTTTATTTTTTAAATTTTTTTTGAATAGGAAAAATTTATTGAGGGAAAGAAAGCTTCTGTCTAGGAGAGAAGGAAGGGGGACCAGAAAGTAGGCTTCCTGCCCACCCCACTTTTCACAGGTGTTTTATACAGCAAAGCCATGAGGTGAGGCAGGTACAAAGTGGGACAAAACTATAAGGCCCAATGGAAAATTATAAGATGGCTATTAGGTGGGACAAAACCATGACCAACCAATAAGATTACAAGTACAGTCACCCAGGTGGTATTAATTAAATGGGGGTCAAATGCGGGAGCAAGTCATGTAGCAAGGATTTTCAGTAAGGGTTGGGGATATTTCCTGGAAAGGCTGGGTTAAGACTTTGGCCCCCCACCCTGGTGATTGATACCTATTTAGAATATCAATCACTACTCTTTATCCCCAGGGGAAGCACAAGGGTATAGTTATTTCTTTCCTTTTATAATTCTGGCCACAGTGAATGTGTCTTTATTGTCCTCCATGTTGGCTCCTTTAGGGCTGGCTACTTGAGGGTGGCCCTGTCTAACTACCCACAAAATATCTAATTAACTTACCTATCTGCAATATTCCCCCCTCTGAAGAGGTACCCCTAACTGCTGTGAGGAAACAAAGGGCGTAGACAGCTCTGGCTACTTCCAGCTGAAGAGAGTCATAGTTGTGATCAGCAGTTAGAGTTACTCTACAGAGGGTATATCTAAAGGCCTGAGTAGGTGCCTGGCATTGTCATCTTGGTAGTTGCTTAGGTTTTAAGTCTGGAGGAGACAAACCCAAAGAAACAGTTAAGAATGCATGGGCTAAATTATAAGATCAGCAGAATTGCTATGAATATAGCCCACAAAAAGGATAAGGATAAGGTCCAGAAGACTTCAGAATCTAACATAAAGTCATTTTGTACAGTTTAGCAGTTATAAGCTGTTTGCAAGGTTGATCTGGTGGATCCCAGTAAAAGAAGTCTAGCACATTTGTCATTGGTTCCATCTGTATGACCGCTTGGAGGTTTGGCAACCTGAAAGATGTAGGATCTCACAGGAATGGTTCCTTTGTGTGGATCTTGTAGACCTTGTGGGGCCAGGTTCAAAATATTGGCTGCAATGGGCTGGGGATTTAGCTCAGTGGTTCCACTGCCGGCCCCCCCCAAAATATTGGCTGTCCTCATAGCCCAGTTACCTTTCTAGTTTTGCTCTCCAAAATATTTATCATAGTATGGGATAGTTTTTCAGTCAAACACCTCCATCTGATCACAAGACATTAAATGACAAGAAAACTCTTATTTGTTATCTTTTAGTATGGTGCCATCTCTGACCAGTAATCTCGTTGAAAGACCTCCAAATGATACAGGGGGAAGAGAAGTAACTCCCAAACCTGCTAGATATCCAGAATGTGACTTCGTGTCCTCTAACATTGAAGAATGAATTCTAGGAACAATGGAGGTTAAGAGTAGCAAAAATTTATTGAGCAAAAGAAAGCTTCTGTCTAAGAGACAGAAGGGGGACTGGAAAGTGGGGTGCCCCCTAAAATTTCAATTTTAAACACAATTTTCAATTAAATTTTGAACATTTCATCTTTTTATTCAAATGTTACCTGGATGCCTCATGGGTTTGTGACTACTCTCTTTCTGTGTTCGATGCATGATTTTTTTTTTGTACATGTGCTAGATTTATGTGTGGTTGGATGCTTTTCATAGTCTACTCAGACTGCTATAACAAGATGCCATAGACTGGGTGGCTTAGGAACAACAGAGATTTATTTTTCACAGTTCTGAAGGCTGGCTGAGAAGAAGTCCAAGATCACAGTCCTGCAGATTAAGAGTCTGATGAAGGTCAGTCTCCTCACACATGGCTGTCTCCTCCTATAACCTTATCTGGTAGAAGTTGTGAGGAATATCTTTGGGACCTATTTTATAAGGGCATGAATCCAATGCCTGATGGCTCTGCTTTCAAGACCTAATCTCATACAGTCCCTCTTGACTAGCCAGGCATGGTGGTGCCTACCTGTAATCCTAGCACTCTGGGAGGCTGAGGCAGGAGGATCATACAAGTTTGAGGCCAGCCTGAGCTACACAGTGAGTTCAAGTCCAGCCTGAACTCTAAAGCAAGACCCTGTCTCAAAAAACCAACCAACATTTGTCACACATTCATTGTTAAGTATTTGGAAAAAATGAACCATAAAATTGATTTGCTATTCACTTCTTATTATTCCAGTACATTAATCAAACAAGCAGTTCATCTTTATTTAAAAAAGGAGAAATACGGTAATATACTCAAAGTTTAAAATGCCAGTGCAGAGGTTTATGAAAGATATCCCTAAAAAAAGAAGGGTATCCCTCAAGACCAAGTGAAAATGATTTTTTTCTGTTCTTGACTTTGACATAATGTTTTCTTATGGTAAGTAAACCAATTCATTTTCTCAGTTTACTTTGCATTTAAATAAGAGCAATTGGTATCCACCCTTACAGATGTTGTTAGTTAGTAGAGTTCATAAATACATGTGATTCCCATAATAAAGGTCTCACTGTTAAATAAACACCCCATCCAACCAATCAACAACAACAGCAACAAAAAGGTGGAGGCAAAAGAATCAAGCACACACAGAATGGAAGATGTGATAAGGGAAGCAGAGGTTGGAGTGGCCACAGGCCAAGGCATGTGGGCAGCCCTGAGAAACTGAAAAAGGAAGAAAGCATTCATTCTTCCCTGGGGGCCTAAGAAGGAAAAGCTCTGCCAACCATAAGACTGGTTTAAGGGGCCCAGAAGACTCATTTTGAATTTATTTGATTATTTTTGCAGTTCTGGGTGTTGAACCCAGAGCCTGATGTCTGCTGGGTCAGTGTCCCCCACTGAACTACATGCTCAGCCCCTTCAGTTTGAGTCTCTGACCTCCAGACTTGTGAGGCAATGAATTTGTTTTGTTCTAAGCCACCATTTTTTGAAGTAATTTGTTTTGTTTTGTTTGGTACCGGGGATCGAACTCAGGCCCTTGTGCTTGTGAGGCAGGCACCAGAACCACTGAGCTAAATCCCCAGCCCTGAAGTAATTTGTTAACAGTGGGGATAGGAAGCAAGTCAAAAAAGAGATAATGAACATCTTCCTGTAGACATTTTACTCCATTTATTTTGTTTTTCTCACACTTTTATTTGAAGAAGTTAAGAATGAATTGTAGATGTAGCATTTAGTTTTAGCACAAAACTCCTACATGATATAGATATCATTCAAAAAATTGTGTATTAATAAAATATGATTATTTAATATTTAGCCCGTATTAAATTTCACTCTCCCAATAATGTGCTCTATGGCTTTTTGTTTGATTCAGGATCCAACTGCAGATTATGCATTATATTTGTTTGTTGTGCCTACCTAGATTCTCTTATTCTAAAAAAGTAGGGTTTTCTATTCTCATTTTTTTTGGTATTTGTTTTAGTCAGCTTTTGTGGTTGTGACCAAATACCTGAGAAAAACAATTTAAAAATAATAAATATTTATTTTGGCTCAGAGTTTCCAGGGTTACAGCCATGGCCAGAGGTCCCAGGGAACAAATGTCACTGTGGGAGGTTGCGTTGGGGAACTGCTCATCTTACTGCTGCTGCAGGAAGTAGAGAGGTGGGAAGAGCCAGAGAGAAAGGAAGAGGCTGGTGACAGGTTCACCCTTAAAGAAACTGACCTCTGTCAAGTAACTGGGCCTCCCTCTTCTAATCGCCCATCAACTATTCCAGTCCCCATCTTTGAACATTGCTGCACTGCAAATCAATCCCTCAATACTTGAGCCTGGGGGGGCACTTTATATAGTCTTTGATGATATTCTCATTCCTCTTCTCTCTCTCTCTCTGCCATATTTAGGATTGACCCTGGGACCTTGAATACCAGGCAGGCACTTCACTGCTGAGCTACATTCCCAGCTCTCATATTGCTATTTTTCAAGAGTCTCAGATATCAGTTTGGGTTTGCCTGTATGTTTCCTTAAGGTTACTGCATCACAGCTGAACCTCTCTCAGGAGTACTGCTTAGCTGCCGTTTGGCCATCCTTGGAGCACTTGGGCACCAGAAAAGGTCAGCCTATCCTGCCACTGGCCTTTGTGAGGTGAGGCACACACTCTACTGGAAGGAGGGTACCCCCACCCCCACTCAAGAGGGAAAGGAATTTTCATTATAAAAAGAAGAGTCAGAGCAATGGTTTAATTTCACACTCTGATTTTCTTTCTGTAGCTGCTGTACCTGCCAGTGGTATCAGCAGGGGGAAGGTCAGCCTCAGCCAGGACATGTTGAGCTTAATTGGCATCTTCTGTGCTTTCCCGGTGTTATGTTTAATCTAGAGGCCTAGGTTATTAAGATGGTCACTTTAGGTGAAAGGTTACAATGTATAATTTTTCACATTTTTTGTCTAGTTTTCCATAAAATTTGACTTGAAATATTGTCTATGGAGTTGCTCTGAGGTTTTTTTTTCTTCTCATTTTTAGGAATTTTAGGTCTCAGTCTCTGTTTCTTACACACACACACATACACACACACACACACACACACACACACATGCACACCACAATCAACTAAAGAAGACAGGAATTTTAAAAATTAATTTAAAACATTCAGGGCTATTCTGGGATCAGTGGAAAGGCTGGAGTCCTAGGCTTGGAAAACGAGTTGGAAGTCAAAGGATGAGCTGCAGGGAACATCACACCGTGGCCGGGACACAAAACCAATCTTCTCAGGAGGTGCGGCAGACATTGTGACACCAGACTCCCCGAGGTGCTGCTGGTGGGCTCCTGGGGCTGCTGCTCCTCCACAGCTGACTTTGCTTCTCCATCACAAGGTTCAGAATTCTGGGCTGTGACATCTGACTGGGCAAACCTAGGCCACCTGCCTGCATCGTGGACAGTTGGGGCTCTGAAGGGGATCCAGGCCCTTCAGTTTCCTTGGTCCCAGGCTCTTCTTCCCTGCTGATCCTACAGAAAGGGGAGCTCTACTGCTATATTCAACCCTTGAAGAGAAGGGTAAGGCCTTTCCTTGAAAGAAGAAAGAAGTAATTTTAAAAAAAAAATTTTTTTTTTTTGGTTTTTTGAGACAGGGTCTCACTATGTATTTGAGAATTTAGCCTTTTGATGATAACCAATGTAAACATTTTTAACAACATATTTAACAAGGCATATCTTTTTATAAGGCTCTGAAAATTATTTTGGTGGCTCCCATTAGTGAACAAAGTTCAGAATAAATTTTCTGAGCAGCTCTTTATTTATGAACAGGAGTATAAATATAAACCTTTAAGTTTGGATAATTATCTTTTTAAGTTTTTTATTTGATACTATAAAGCCAGGTTGTAGAAATCAACAATCTATTTGTATTTGATGTCATTTTGATAAACAATTGTACAAACATTTTTGAACACTTAGACAAACATATAAGACAATTTAAATGAGTGTACTCAGATGGTTTTGGCCAATTGAATTATAAAATCTTTTAGTTATGACTAGTCAAAACTTTTGCAGGTCAAAATTAACAGAGATCTCTTAAGGTTAAAGGAATGAAAGCTCTTCTTGACTGTAAATGTAAACCTTTTATAACAAACTTGAAACCAACAAGCAAACATAAATAAATGATTTCCACATACCTTCTCTATATACTTAGGCCTTCTGGTCTTGTATATCTTTCTTTACCTGTTTTTAACAAGATTAACATACAAAAACCTTTCATATCAAAAGTATAACTCTTACTTATAGCTTTCCTAATATTTTTCTGTCTCATTTACTATTAACCTTCTATAACAAACTTCAGCTTAAAGTGTCCTTTTTCTGTTTTCAGATTGTTACATCTTAAAATTTGACTGGCTGCCAATAGAACAGTATTAACCTTGAATTTTTAGAAAAGAGCAAGTTAACCCTATAATCACAGTTTAAGAATTTGTAATGCACAAGAAGTGTTACCAAAACTAAATAGTTTTCACTAGGAGGTGACTGTCACAAAGCAGAAGTCTGAGCAACTCCTAGGCTGGGTTGTTTTGAAATCTGTTTAATTATGGGGAATCCAAGGTCAGCTGCAGTCCAACGGATCTCCTGGAAATGACTTAAAATCAAGGTGAGGGGGGTAGATGAGCTTCTTTTCATCCTGTCAGAAAATTCAAAATAAGTGAGCAGACAAACAAGGAAACAAAGGAGTCCAAATAAAATATAGGACCAAGGCTTATGAAAACCAAACCAAAAGTAGAACCAGAGGTCTCACAAGCAGTTTCCTCTAGATTTTTTTTTTTTTAAACCAAAAGGATGGTGTCCTGACCAAGGGGGTTTGGGAGGTCTCCCAGCCCCTGTGGCACAGAGTCCATTAGCAGATCTGCCTGGATCTCTGGGCCTCCAAAATGATCTGGATCACAAATTACTAGTTAACAATTGTCAGACATTAACAGGAAGAGAAAGACACAGAAGCAAAACAAAAAGAACAAGCACTCACTGATTGGTTTGTAAAGTTTAAGTGCTCAATGCCATAGGGGTCTTTTAGGGGCAGCTTCAATCTCTAGCAAGCATCTCATAATTAGCGTTTAACCCTCTCTGTGTCCTATTTAATTTTGCTGTTTTTTGACACTGTTCTCCAAATTCAGTCTTCTACAAAAGGAAATTGCCCCACCAGGCAAGCTTTACCTATTTGTTTTCACTCAAAAGGAGGTAAAGCAGCAGTTGTCAGAGAATCAAGCATTGCTAAAGTAAAAGGGGCTGTTGGTCCATATTGGGCCCAAGCCATTTTCATTTTTTTTAATTGTTTTGACAAACGGGGTTTTCTTGAGCATCTCGAGCATCAAAGACTGGGCAGATAAGGGAAAATCCAGATAAATCTTTCTCAATATTTAAAGCTTGTTGTAAGCCTTGTTGAACAGGGGACAAAAGAGGTTGAGAATTGATCCTAACAGGTTTTTTAACTTTTAAGGGGCAGTGAAGCTACAGCAAACAAAGAGGGCTCTCTCTCTCTAAAAAATCCAAACTATCTCTGATGAGAGTCCACAAACTAAAAGCATCCATGGGTAACTTGCTCTTACTCCAAGTATCTAAGTTTACAGTGCCTTCTTCAGGGAACCAAGGACAAACCATTTCAACAAATTCTAAAAAATTACACAATTGCTGGTGCCCTACTCTAGCACCACTGACACGCAATAAATCTTCAAGCATATGCACAAAAAGCATGCAACTATTGCCAGCTCCCATTTTTAATATTTACAAGAAAATTCACCGCTCCTTACCTTTTTGTTGAGGCCTTGTTCTTCTCTGCGGTGTCCTTCACTGGATCCCTCGATACTCAGGTCCCTGTTTGGGCGCCACTTGTGGCAGTCCAGACATCACATCATGAACATGCCTGAGTTGGGGAGTGAGGATTAAGGAAGGAAAGAACACTCAAGCCTGAGTGGAGACCAAGAGAAGTCTGATTTATTTCACAGAAACAGCTCCTTTTAAAGGCACATCAACAGGAAGCACCTGACTCCTACAGATAACGTCAGATCTTTAACGGGAAGCACTTGACTCCTACAGATAACATCAGATCTTTGGCTATCTCTTTGAGTTTCTCCCATTCAGGGTCAAAAACAAGTTTAACATGTACAGTCCTTAAAAAGGAACAAATGTTAACAAATGCTAATTAGAAACATCCTGACCACACATTGTGTCAATGCCTTGATTATAAAGAAAGAAGTTATCTTTCAAATGTCAAATGCCAGTGGGCCATGACTGGCTCCCACAGGAAGAAGGGCCCTATTTCTTTTTTTTTTTTTTTGTACCGGGGATTGAATTTAGGGTCCTTGTGCTTGCAAGTCAGGCAGCAGGACAACTGAGCTAAATCCCCACCTGGAAGGGCCCTATTCAAACAGTGGTGGCTGTCCTTGGTTTCCTGTGTCCTAGAGCCACCTGCTCCAGCTCCACTGCTCCCCACAGTACTCTTGTAGGGTCTCACTGGGTTGCTTCTCTAATGAGGGCTTGCTCCCTCCCTCTACCTAGCTTCCTCAGCCTCGAGTTTATCTTTCTATCTGAACCTGTATATGCGTTTTGGTTACTAGAGACAAAGGTGCCCCCAGACTTAAAACCCTCCATGAGGTGCAGGCCTTCCCCGAGACATAATGTTCTTAAGATTGATTTGTGAGTAAAACCCTGCCTTTCTGTATGACCTTTCCCTGCTTTGTGGATCTATTGTGAAGGGTAAAAACAACCCTGTGTCATGTGGGAAGCCATTGGAAGGCCTGAAAGCAGCTTTCTTCATAAGCGACCTGAAAGCCTGGACTCTAGTCATGACAGAAATTGGGGTGGGCCTATGGCCTGACCTCGGGGAAAAATGGGCCAGTGAAGTCCATTAGGAGGGCAACTGTATTGTCTGACAGTGGATGGAAGACCTAAAAGGATGCTGCCCTTTCCTCTGCTTTTCTTTCTTCCTCTTCTACTACTTTCCTAAAGTACACAAGGGAGATCTTAAAGATGCATAGTGTATTTTATAAGATTACAGGTAACTCAAAGTCTACCAAATGTTGGGATTACAGGAGTGCGCCACCACACCCAGCTCTCAACTCCTTCTTTTATAGGGTTTTACAGCCTTGATCTTATTCAGTTGGTTACATTGCATTTTCACAGCTCTTATTGGATATCCAAAACATGGTGGCCTGGCAGTTGAATTTCAACTTGGATGCCCTTCTTTGTTAGGGAAAGTTACCTTTAAGATTTATTCAGTTACCTATTCTAGCCAGGGGGAAGGGAGCTTGTTTGGTCTACAAAGCTAACAATGGCTTTTTTCACTTACAAAACTTTTGGGGGAGTCTAGGTGCCTCCAGTTCTGGTTAATTCTGAACTCAGCAGAGTGAGGGGCAGAAGTTATCTTACATTGTGACATTTTCTAAGTTTTTGCTATTAAAGTTTTCCCTATCATTAACATGTATGTTTCTATGTGTTAACTGTCAGTGTAAGACTTGAATAGGCTAAAGTGACTCCATGCTAATAGGCCAGACTGTGCTTCTTCATATGCTAATTGCTACCTTGGTTAACAGCCCGCCCAGGGGCAAAGGGTTTGACAAAAGGTGACCCTAGAACATTTCCTGCATAAGATAAGCAATGTGTTTGCAGTCTTGTTCTGTGAATTCCCTGACTCTTTGTTTAGAAAAACCTTATAAAAAGTACCTCAGCCCCTGAGCAGTTGCCTCTCTGAGCCACCTGGCTCTGGGAGTGCCGTCTGGCCAGACTAATAAAGGTCTCTTTACCATCTAGCCTGGTGTGTTCCTTCCTGGGTTTCTCGTTCTCCGTCATGTTCCCGGAGCCTCGCTGGGTGTTAGGGCCCAGCATCGTGGAGGCCTTTCGGCTGTTCACGCTCAGTGGAGTGGAAGTGAGACTTTAGGTCTTACATCAGGAAATGTTATCCTCCAAAATTTCTATTTAAGTTGGTTTATATATGAGGACACTCATGTAATTACCCCGAATTCCTTTGTTCACATGGCTTAAAGATGAATGAAATTGTTTGTTAAAAATAAAAGCAAGAATGTCTTTAAAATTGCTAACATTTTGTTTAGGTTTTTAGCCAATCAGGATAATTATCTTTGTGAACAAGTTAAGGGCTGGGATTTTGCTCAGTAGTTAGTTCTCCACCTGCCTCACAAGTGCAAGAACGCGAGTTCAATCTCTGGTACAAAAAAAAAAAAAAAAAAAAAAAAAAAAAAAAAAAAAAAAAAAACAATGTCCATTGCTTTCCGTATTTCAAGGACAAAATCTTTAAGTGTTTTTTCTTTGGTTAAAAATATATAACAGCTTAAAATGTTAACTATGCTAGTCTAATGTTTTAGTTCTCAAATAATCTGAAATAATTAAGTAAATAAAATGGGATTAATGCTTATAATTACTTATAACAACATCTGAGTCATCAATTGCTAAGTTCAGTATTCCTGGCTTCTTAAAATTTAAAAAAACAAATAAGATATTTGATCTATTAAATGTTTTCATAAATTATATATATATGTATTTAAGATTTTTTTCTTGTTTATTGATTTAAAATTCTAATATATAATTCTGTTTTGAATTTGAGGAATTGTTACACAGAATTCCTCTCTGGCTGACAAAGTATCTGCCTGAACCAATTTTCTTTAGTTTTTCTCCACTGATGGGTGACCCTCTAGGGTTTCCCAATCTTATTGTGCCCCACCCCAAGAAATGTTGATAAAAATTATTATTTTATGTAATTAAGTTGGCTATGATTAAAAGTTATATGGCTTTCAAAATTAAAAATTTTAATGCATTCATGTAAAATCAAATCTTATCATCTTTCTCAACAATGTTTTCTTTGTAAAAACTTATAGAAAGTAGCCTTAGAAACAGAAGTTTGTGGGTTTTTTTTTTTTTTTTTTTTTTTCTGGG